CACGGTGTCAGTTCACCTTGTCGAAGGCTTTCCTCTTTACCACGCTTGATGTCCTTCTCCAGGGACTGGTCTCTCCTGACAACATGTCCAAAGTATGTAAGATGAAATCTCGCCATCCTTGCCACTAAGGAGCACCCTGACCATCCTTTCAAGACAGATCGATATGTCATTTTAGCACTCTATCATACTCTGACATTCTCCAGCACCCTAATTCAAGTGCATTGATGATTCTCTGGTTTTTCTTATTCAGTGTCCAACTTTCACATGCTTATGAGACTATTGAAAATACCATGGTTTGGGTCAGGCCCACATCAGTCCTCAAAGTAACATTCTTGCTCGTCAGCCCTTTATAGAAGACTTAGCTAGTGCAATGGGTCATCTATCTCTTGACTGCTCCGTCCATGAGCATTGATTCATGCAAGATGAAGTTTTTGAGAACTTCAAACTTTTCTCTATTTGTCATGAGATTGGTCCAGTTGCTAGTATTTTTCTTTCTTTACATTAAGTTGTCTTCCACATTGAAGGCTGCACTCCTTAATCTTCATCAGCAAGTACTTCAAGTTCTCCTTCCTTTCAGTAAGCAAGTTGTGTCGTCCACGTTTTACATGATAGGCCCTCCTTCAATCCTGAAGCCACATTCTTCATGTAACTTCTCTGATTCTTTGCTTAGTATGCAAATTCAATAAATATGGTGATGCCATATAACCCTGATGAACACCTGTCTTTATTTCAAACCACGCAGGATTTCTCTTGTTCTGTTAGAACAGCTGGCCCTTGATCCATCTTTAGCTGTATTAACTTTTTTTTGTTTTAAGTTTTATTTTATCTGATTTTAATAGATCGATTCCAGCTTTGTTCAGATTGCTGTTGGCATGTTATCTTTCCCTCTTTACTTTATATCTGTTAATGTCTTTGGTTTTAAATGGCCTTTCCTGTACTTGACTACCCCTCCTGAACTTCCTATAGGGAGCGCTCTTCTTTTATTGCCTAATAGTCTCTGCCTTTGGGTTGAATTGTTTGCATTTAATATTATCATTTATATATTTTAATATATGAGAGAGCACCCCCCAAAAATCTGGAATTGCAGTGGGTTGAGCCGAGCTTTCATAGTATGCATTTTTTTCCTGCTAGGTGAGCTTCGAGCAACTTGCTCTGAGTTAGTGCATCCAGTAGCATCACCTGGGAAGGTTCTTTTTTTTTTTTTAAAGCAGACTTGCTCGAACCTCGTTTTTTTTTGTGATGGCCGATTTAAGGGAACAGCGTGTAGCCGTGAAATTTTGTTTCCTGCTCAGAAAAAATGCTACAGAAATTGTTGTGATGTCGAACACAGCTGACAAGGACAGTGCTATTGGAAAAACTCAGGTGTACAAGTGGTTTTTTTGTTTCCAAAAAAAGTGAAATGTTGATTGATGACGAACTTCGTTGTGGACATCTGTCAACTTCCTGAATGGACAAAAATGTTGACTTGTGCATTTGGAGTTTGTTCCATCAGGTCAGACTGTTAATCAAGCTTTCTATTTAGGAGTTCTGAAAAGATAGTGTAACAGTGCGTGACAAAAAAAGCCAGATTTGTTGCTGACGGGACTGGTTTTACCACTTTGACAATTCACCTGCTTGTGCAGCCATCTAATTGAGCCAGTTTTTTTGCAAAAAGCAGCATGCCTCTTTTGCCCCACGCACCTGACCAACCTGACCTCACTTCATGTGACTTCTTTTTGTTTCCTAAACTGAAGGACAATGATTTGATGATGTAGAAGAGGTGAAGAAAAAACGAGGGACGTGCTGTCAGCCATCCAAACAGAAGAATTTGAAAAATGTTTCCAAGAATGGAATAGCAGATTTGACAAATGTATTAAGTCTAATGGAGAGTACTTTGAAATAAATATAGAGCTTTAAGGAAAAAACCAAAACAAAACAAAATGGGTTTTTTTGGGGGGGGCTCCCCCTCGTATGTTTGTCTTTTTTTTTTTTTCAATGTCTCAGGTGTTATTTGTTTTCTTCTTGTGGTAGTTACATGATCTGTTGTCAACTTGAGACTATTAAGAGTGAAGGGGTGGAGTTTAGCCTGTCAATCAAGTCACAGCTTGATCACCTCATTTGGAGGTGCTAAGGAGATAAGTAGCTCCCTGTAGGCGGGACACAAACTCACTCCCTGCGAGACATTTCTGTTGACAAGTCACTTAGAGCTACACTGATGGCAGCCAGAGCCTTGCAGCTGAGCGACCACGTGGAGACCCACACCACCACTAAGATGCTTCCACCGTTACTGGATCCACAAGACTTTCCACCCATTGGCACGATTGCATTTGTTTCATGAGTCTGAAAAGGAATTTATATATTGGTATCGGACATGGGGGCTAATATCAGACTTATGGACGTGATCTGGACTGGGCTGGGATGTTTTCTTAATATACAATTCCCCTTTTACATAAACCTTCCTCTTATACACATATGACTATCTATGAATTTGTTTCTATAGTCAACCCAGAAGAACACAGTTCTCCTCCTTGTTAGCTACTTTCTTTGCCATTGGGTTAATATTTTCTATTGTAATATGCTAATCCTTTTCATGCTTTTCCACTATATATTTTAACTTATTTTCTGAATGGTGCTCTAGGATTAACCATATTCATTTTAACTCATCAAATATCTTTCAAACTTTAACTTAATTCCAATGAGCAAAAAGTACATTAATTTTATACAGCAATGTTATTATCTTGTTATTTATATATTTGCTATATTTATTTTACAAGCCAAACAACATTGTAATAATTATTACTTTACATAGTTTTATGTCTTAGTGCAACTGAGAAAATAGAGAAGAGTATGTGTATATTTATAGTGTTTAAAAATTAATCGTACTTACTATTTCTTGTTCCCTTTATCTGTTCCTGGAGTAATTTCCTTTGTCAATTAAAATGTTGCTTCCATCCATGCCCTTTGGGTTGTTATTATCACATTAACAGACTTCCGTAAGTTACACGTTAAGGAGCCCTGGTGCTGTAGTGTTATGTGTTGGACTGCTACCTGTTGAGGTTCAAAATTTGGAACCACTCTTCAGGAGAAAGATGAGGCTTTCCACTCCAGGAAAAAGTTATAGTTTTGGAAATCCACAGGGGCAGTTTAATCCTGTCCTATGAAGTCGCTATGAGTTGGAGTAGATTTTGTTAATCTTTATTTATGACAGTCCATATTCAAATTTTATCATTTGTCCCACCACTGCCCTTTATAGCAATATTTTTCCAATCTTATGTCTTGTGTTGCAGTTAGTCATCACGTCTCTTTAAATTCCTTTAATATAGTTCTTTAGCGTTTCTTTGTCTTTCATGATCTTGCTATTTCCGAAGAGTAAAAACCAGTTAGATAATGTTTTATAGCCTGGGTTTGTCTGTGTGCCCTGGTGGTGCTCTTGGGTAAGTGTTAGACTGTTAACTGTTCATTGGGTTGGTGGTTCAAAGGTACTAGTCTTTCTCTGGGCGAAACTTGTTGCTAACGGATCCCATAAAGATTTCCAGCCTGGGAAACTGTGTCAGGTCCCTGTGAGTTGGAATCGACTCATCGGCAGTGGGTTTATTTTGGTTAGTCTTGCAGATATCACAGCATGTCCTTTTCAGTGTATTCTCTCAGGAGGCACATGATTTCAATTTGTGTCGTTGCTGATGATGTTAACTTTGACTACTTGGTTAAAGTTCTATCTGCCAGGTTTACTCTTAACTATCCCCCTTAAACATTCATAAATAGAAATTGTATTTTTCAAGAAGCTTCCATTCACTTGTTTTAGTATCCATTGATGATTGTTTCCTACATCAGTTTTTTATGTGGTTTTACCAAAGAAGAATAATCTAACTCTAGAATTTCTCTACATATATTTATTTGCCTCATTTTATTTTTTAAACATGTATTGTAACACCTGGCTCTCTGTTCTTTCATTCAGCAGGCTGTGCTCACTGCAGTACATTCCTGAGGTTTTATAAGAGTAATCAGTGTGACAGGAAGGCTTGGGCAGCACCTGGTATCTCTGTTTGCCTCCTACCCAGGGATGGTAGAGGATACCCTGAGAGAATATATCTGAAAGCATCGGGTGAATGTAATGTCCTTGCATCCAGATAGTTGAAAAAGAAAGCCTATCAGAGGGATTCTAAATTATGAAAGGGGAATAATCTCTGTAACTAAGTTATTGAACCCCGTGCACTGAACTTGTCCTATAAGTTGGTCCAGTAAATGCATGGTAGTGGGACTTTAAAGACCAACTCTCATTTGAAGTTTAAAGAGTTGTTTCTCTGAAGGAGATACAGAGCTAAAGAAACTTAATTTATCAAGGATGTTATGTGTTTGTTGGGCTGGCTTTGTTAGTTGCAAAAAAGAACTTTATTGGATCACTGTTCATGGTTTCTTCCGGTGCTATTTAGACTGATTTAAAGATTCCTCATAGTGTAAATAAACAGTATACCATTTATTAGTCTCTCAATTCTAGTTTTCATGTAAAAATCCTCATTAAAGCTTATAGTTTGTAAATATCATATTTTGTACTTTCCTAACAGTGTGTCTGTTTCTTATCTCGCTCTTTTATAGGCACTTCATATTTAACAGACATTGTGTGGTGGGCTGGTACAATTGCAAGTAAGTACCCTGTAGGTCGAGGAGTTCGTTTTCTCTCTTATGATAGTCATTCTGACTGCACAGTACCGGAGGGGGGTGGGATGGACTTGCCTCATTCTTTGAAAGGTGGAATGATGCTACAGCTTCCCAGGGTCGGACATGTCATCCCGGTTGCTCCCTCTTCCCCACCTCCTACAGAGAAACTCTCTTTGCTCTGTCTCCTTGAAACTGTCTTCTTCTCTTAGTTAGAAAAGAATAGAATAGAATAATTTAGGATGAGGACAAAGAAGATGGGATGTAGTAGATGAAGGAGGCAGAGGCTCTTACTGCCCGTAATAAGCCCTGATTTTAGTCTAGATATTACTGTCCTGGGATGAAAAAATTCAAAGAATTTCTTCAAAGGAGCAGAAAGAAATAGGTGTGGCATACTTGTTTGAAGTTGGGTGCTTTGTTACTTGGTGAAATTCCAAACTACTTAGTTTTGCTCAGCAGAATGATTTTATAAAGGACAGTTTCTTGATTCAGCTTAAGTAAATGTGAAAGGGAGAGGAAGAGCTTCGGTGCGGTGGGTTGACAACAGTGACTGCAAGTATGGGATCCAGCATAACAACAGTTGTGAGGCTGACGTAGAACCTGAAAGTATTTTCTTCTGTTGACCTAGGGTCGCTGTGAGTCAGAACCAACTCAACTGAACCTAAGAAAACAAACCAATATAAAAATACATAGTCACTTTTAAAAATACAAAAGAAAAGGATATTAGAAATATCGTGAGGTTTTTAATATCACACAATGATTTTTAGACAGTAAAATGTCTTAGTAAAAGTTAAATTAGTGCACTGAAGTGGTTGTCTTTAAGTTTTCCTCTCTGTGAAGTTCCTGGTACAGTTTGTGCAGGAAAACATCTTTTCATTGGGTGTGTAGCAGTTTGTCACTGTGGCTCTTATCCCGAAATAGATCCCTGTCTATATGAAGGGCGAAACCCTTTGTGAAGGTGTATGGGGAGCTTTGCATACCTGATCCTAAATCCAACACTCTGTAAAGAGAAAGTAGCAATGTACTCCTATGTTGCAACACTAGTGGTTAGACTGGGAATTTCCATAGGTAGCTGAAAACTCCTCGACTACTGCAGCTCATGATGAGACTATTGGGCCTACTGTCTTCTACCATCTTCTCAACCATTAAATGTGTAAATGATGCCCATGACTTATTTCCTCACAATTAGTGGTAAAGAACTGGTAGTTTAAAAGCAGAGACTTGCAATCCTAGGACCAATACTGAAAGATAAATTTATGATTGTGATTTTCTTAACAGTGGCTGTTGGCCAGATTGGGAACTTCTTGGCTTACACGGCAGTCCCCACGGTCCTGGTGACGCCTCTAGGGGCCCTTGGAGTACCGTTTGGGTGAGAGCTGGGATTTTGTGTTTTGGTATTTGCTGTATAGTTCATAAATGGAATTAAAAAAAAATTTGTTATTTAAAATAAAATAACAATAAAAGTGAAATTGTGGTGGAATATAAAGCTTAGTTTTCAGTCCACATCACTTAATTTAATCCTTTTAAATTAAGGTCTGTGCATTATTAACCCTTGAGGAATTCAATTTAGTGTATTTCAAATCATAATTTATTCATCAATGAGTTACTCGTGTGGTCTTTTCTTTGTAAGACTTTTAGACATTAGATTTAGTCTTCCTGGTCCCTTAGCAAGTTATTCTGAAATATCATTAATAAGAACTTGCTAATTGATATTTTGTTTGGGTTCCCTGAAATTCCATCTTGCCCTAGAAAATTATGCTAATCAGGACAAATGACACACAGGCACCACGGGGGTGTGAAATTGAGTGTACTGCACGGTAAACAGTACATGCGTTTCCCAAGGAGAAGGGCTCTGGTTTGGTTTGTAGTGAAACAAGAGAAATGAACTTCAGGTTTTTCTTGTAAAAGGTTAGGGCTTGGATCCAGATGGAAGTTTCCACATCAGCCTGGGGCTGTGGTAGCAGAGACATGAAGGCTGCAGGGTGCCAGGTTAGAAGAGTTTAGGTAAAGCACAGGGAGAAGGGGAGGGGTAAGACTTGAAGATTTTCACCCATGAAACTGAAAATATATTTATCTTTTTTACAGTTTACTTACCTATAGAAAAGGAGCCCTGGCAGTTTTGGTTAAATGCTCAAAAGGTTTTTGTCTTCAAACCCATTAGCCACTTTGTGGGAGAAAGATGGGTCAGTCCACTTCCATAATGAGGATACCTGGGGGACCACGTGGAGCCTTTCCACTCTGCCCTGTAAGGTTACTATGAGTAGGAATTGGCCCAAGAACAAGTTTGGTTTGCTTTATCTATTGAGAAACTTTAAAAAAAGAATTTTTAATTAGCTCTGAGAAAGACAAGGAATTTCTAAAGTTTGAAGCAATACAAGTTACAAAGGTTAATTTTGTGCAAATATGACAGTTATTAAAGGTATAAGATATAAAGAATTCCTTCAAATTGTTTAAAAGAAAAATATAAAATGTCAAAGGGCAAAAGCTGTCAATTCACTCATAGGAAAGAATATTTATTAAAATAATGTTAACTCACTCTCAATAAAATGTATCTCTAAGCAACCAGACATAACAAATTGCATGTGAACAATAATATATTTAAAATGTAGTAAGAACTTTTGAAAAGTGTTTGGTAAATAATCCAATAAATATAAAAAATTCTGTAAGTATAAACTTCCTCTCCTTTTTTCTCAACTTATTTTACAGACAAAAAATTATAGAAAGAAATAATCATAGCAATGCACTCTTGAGTTTATAATACAGAGATGTGATATGTATAATAACACAGGAAGGTAGAAAATGAGATCGCTAGGAAGGAGTCACATTTCTGTAAACCACTAGAATTGAGTTAGTATGAATCCAAAGTCACTTCTGGGAAGTTGAGCTGTATATGGTAAGCCCTACAGCAACCACCAGGAGAAAATGACAAACTATGGTGGGAAAAAAAAAATCAATAAAGGAATTAAAATATTAAACAAGAAAATATTTGCGCAATGGCAAAAGGTAATTAACAAGATTTAAAAGCCAATGAAAGACACACAGCACGTAGAAAACAAAAATAATGATTGACATAAATTCAGATATATCAACAATATTAAATGTCAATAGATTAAACAAGTCAATCAGTTTTCTTGCTTTGAGGATACCTAATAAATGGCATCTCAAGATTACCATATGTTTTCTATTTTCATACTGTCTTTGCTTTTTTATAACATGTCAGTCCAGGAAGTATAATTCTGCCTTAATGAATGAGCTTTACCCTATCTCCAACCCTCATTGTTTGCATAGTTTTTAGCTATCTACGTTTTAAAGCTGTACAAGTCAATAATTTATGTATTTTAAACTAAAAAGCTGTCATATATGCATACTTTCCTTTTCTCAACAGTATTTAAAATTTTATATCATTGCTAAAATTAATAAGAATAGCAACAGAATTACCATATGCCTCATGGACATGATTTATAATGTGACCAATAAAATGATGATGATGTCTCTAAAGTGAACCAAGGACATATGTAAACCATAGATATATAAGGGGATTTTCAGCTCACTCGTAATTCTAGCCCAATCTAAGAGCAATTAGTCCTTATAACATGGACCTACTTGATAGTCACCCTCATGAAGAGACATGAGATACGGGTGCTGTAGCAGTGTGTGATAAAGAAATCAGATGGTTCTGGTTTTCAGAAAGAACAGCATCTAAGGTCTTCAAGGCTTGTCTTCAAGCAAGCAGCCATGTGAGTGTGGTGTTAGCCAGGTCCACATGGGGAGAAACATGCTAGCCGGTGTAACCCAAGGATTGTGAGTAATAAAACCCAAGACCAGAGGAGAGAATGGTATTAGAGCTTAAATTCTGAGCACTTGGTTTTCAGAAGGCGATGGAGGACACTGAAAGCCCAAAATCCATTTGCAGGTGCTCCCCGTGGATTAAGCCTCCTGTGATTTCCCTCTGACCATTGACCAGGGATGTGAATAGGTTTACTGTCAAACATAGTACGTTAGAAAAATGGATTAATGCAAAGGGAGTTAGGTCAAAATTTAACACCTTATCATTTGTTCTCCCTATTGACCCATTTTAAATTGATTGTAGTTTTTATTGTTTTCTGCTTTCTTTTCAATTAATTTTTGTTGTTGTTGTATTTTATTATTGTATCGCCATTGGGACATTTTGGGTGTTTTATTTGTATGATTTTCCTTATATGAATTCCAGAATAGGTAAATCTATAGAGATAGTTACTGGGTTGATGTTTTCTTAGAGCTATCCCAGAGAAGTAGGGGGGAATAAAGCTAATAATAAATGAATACAAGAAAGAAGAAAACATTCCAAAATTGATGGTGGTAATGTTTGTACACATTTAAAAATTACATTTAAGCCATGAATTGCATGATATGTCAATAAAAACCAAACCAAACTCACTGCCATTGCTTCAATTTCCAATCATAGCACCCTTATAGGACAGGGTCAAATTGCCCCTGTGGGTTTCTAAGACCATAGCTCTTTCTGGGAGTAGATAGCCTCTACTTTATCCTTTGGAGCAGCTAGTGGTTTAGAACTGCTGACTTTGCAGTTAGCAGCCCAACTCAAAATCACTACACCACCAGGGCTCCTTTTATATGTCAATAAAACCATTAGAATAGAAAAAAAAAGAAGTAGTAAACACAGATAGAGTGGGAATAATACTGTTACATTGTGGGGATTGCAATCAATGTCATGAACCAAATATATATAAATTATTGAATGGAAATCTAATTCCTTCTGTGATTCTTCACTCAAATCACAGACAAAGGCTAAAAATAACACAAACACTTTTAAACTAAAAAATATTACTAGAGATAAGGGTAAGCATTTTAGTAATGACAAAACTGTGAATCAGAAAAACAGAATTATAGAAAAATGTATGAAAAACAAAGCTGAAGCAAGAGCTAACAGGATACAGAAGGAAATAAATAATTCAATAATTATAGTCAGAGGCTTCAACCCTAATTTCATTAATGGAGACACCAACTAGTCAGAAGATAATAGAAATATAAGACTAGGACATTATTGTTGGGTTCTCAATTATCTTTATCCAAATAATTTTGTCTTTGCCCCTGATTCCTGAAAGGTAACCTCTAAAACCTTGATATCTTCCCCATGATTGGAATCTTGGTATACACAAGGACTTCAGACCTGAGGGTTTATGTACATGTGGTGACCAGGAGTCCTTCCATGTGATACTAACCTGACTTCAGGGGCTTAGAGTTTGAGTTCTATCAAGTATTATGTCTACTTAATGGAACTTCAATGTAAGAACTTGGGGCAATGAAGTTTGAAAAGCCTCCTGGTTAATGATAGACATTTCTATATACCACTGGGATTAACTATGTATGAAGGACGGTAACTGTCCAGCCCCACAGTTGAAGGGGTCCCGATGAAGAAAGAAGAAAGTGGAGCACAGGGGATCCCTCTCTATTATCCAGGGAAGAAGTCTCAAGTTTATTCAACAATAGGATTTTACAGTCATGAGGTCTGCAAGCCTGTTGTTAATACATACACAATGCAATGGGCATTGTGTTAATCTTGGAGATCCTGAGCTCTCTAGGGGAACACTTTATAGAACTTATAAGGTATTTAAGAGACAAAAGGTGTGAATCACTCCTTAGAGAAGAAGGGACAAAGGAAGCTGACTGCATTTAAAGGTAAGCATCCTCTAATTCAGTGGTTCTCAACCTGTGGGTCGTGACCCCTTTGGGAGTTGACTGACCCTTTCACAGGGGTCTCCTGATTCATAGCAGCAGCAAAATTATAGTTATGAAGTAGCAATGAAAATAATTTTATGGTTGGGGGTTTTATGGTTTAACACATGAACTGTATTAAAGTGTCATAGCATTGGGAAGGTTGAGAACCACTGCTCGAACTGATTGAGAAACCAGGCACCTGTAGGACACAGCTTTAGATTAGCACTTTAATGAGGGGTACTTATTTGGGCGCTATTCGTTGTCTTGGGATTGTAGAGGTGTGCCTCACACAAGTGCTAGTGTGTCAGCCCTGTGGTCAGGAGTGTCAGGATCAGGCCACATACATGTTTTTCTGGGTTCTCAGTTTCCCACAGGCAACATATTTGGGGAACACGGAAGTTTGTATTAGGAACTTTCCAAGACTTCTTCATCTTATATCTCTTCCCGTGTATCATTTGCTATCCAATAATTGTAATCCTAAATTTAGAAATTACCTGAGTTCTGAGAGTCATTCTAGCAAATTATTGAACACAAGGGAGTAATAGAAGCCAGCAGATTATAAGTGAACAGTCAAGGAAACCCCTAAACTTAGCTAACATCCTGATGGGATAGTGAGAAACTCTGAATTTATGCCAGTAGATCAGATGGGAA